ATGCATGCTGGGGGTGGATTTTCTACTGGCCTGTCGGGCTTGCTAGTATTAGTAATCTCAGGCCCGAGTCTTAAAATACAGGCATCTTAGGATTTCGACCCATGACAAGGTAACGAAGATGAACAAAGTTGCTCGGGAAAATAACAACGTGTGACGGCAGCACTAGTGCAGCCACCACTGCTGATTTAGTGATTTAGTGCGCCGGCTGAGAGTTGTTTTTTCGCGTTGGCAGGAGCCGATGGATTTTATGGCGATTGAGGAGAAGATGGAGGCGAGGGACTACACAAGCAAGCAAGAGTTCCTCGACGACTTCCAACTGATCTTCGACAACTGTCGGCAGTACAACGGCCCCGACAGCGGTAAGTTGGACCTATGCTATCCTGCTCCTATCCCAGTCCTATCCTGCTCCTATCCCAGTCCTATCCTGCTCCTATCCCAGTCCTATCCTGCTCCTATCCCAGTCCTATCCTGCTCCTATCCCAGTCTTATCCCGCTCCTAGCCCTGTCCTATCTCCTTCTTATCCCAGTCCTATCCTGTTCCTATCCTGGTGCTATCCCATTCTTATCCTGCTCATATCTCAATCCTATCCCAGTCTTATCCCTGTTCTATCCTGCTTCTATCCCAGTCCTTATCCTGCTCCTATCCCAGTCCTATCTTGCTCCTATCCCAGTCTTATCCCGCTCCTATTCCAGTCCTATCTCCTTCCCATCCCACTTTTATCTCAGTCCTATCCCAGTCCTATCCTGCTCCTATCCTGGTGCTATCCCATTCTTATTCCGCTCCTATCTCAGTCCTATCCCAGTCTTATCCCAGTCCTATCCCAGTCCTATCTCCTTCCTATCCCACTTTTATATCAGTCCTATCCAAGTCTTATCCTGCTCCTATCCTGGTGCTATCCCATTCTTATCCTGCTCCTATCTCAATCCTATCCCAGTCTTATCCCTGTTCTATCCTGATTCTATCCCAGTCTTATCCTGCTCCCATCTTTCCCGCTCCTATCTTGGTGCTATCCTGCTCCTATCCTGCTCCTATCCCAGTCTTATCCCGCTACTAGCCCAGTCCTATCTCCTTCCTATCCCACTTTATCTCAGTCCTATCCCAGTCTTATCCTGCTCCTATCTCAGTCCTATCCCAGTCTTATCCCTGTTCTATCCTGCTTCTATCCCAGTCTTATCCTGCTCCTATCTCAGTCCTATCCCAGTCTTATCCCTGTTCTATCCTGCTTCTATCCCAGTCTTATCCTGCTTCCATCCCAGTCTTATCCCATGGGCATTCATCTGGTTGTCCAGCCTATTGCCGATTACATTATGTCTATAATGTTATTATCTGTAACACTAACATGCAGTACTTTATCATTCAGTACTTTACATTATCTGCTACATTATCATCTTGTTATAATTTATCAATTGTGCAATTGTATGTGATGTGTGGATGTTTTTGCCGGTGTGCGTCGTTGCCGTGTACTCGACTTCTCCCTATATGCGTTTCCGCGTGCGTCTTGCGTGCAGACTACTCGTGGATGGCGAAGAGTCTCGAGGTGGTAGTGCGCCGCGCCGCAAAGCGCCACCTACCGGAGGAGACGGAGAAGTGTGACAGCGACGACGAGTTCCAGATGGACGACCGTAAGGTGAACGTTCGCGCCTCGATCAGGCCGCAGCGACAGGCGACGAGCCGCGCTCTGAAGACCCTGTCAGCCATCACCAAGCAGATGGAACAGGTGCGTTGTCATGCTAACGGGGGTTAGGTCACGCTCGTAAGCCAGCTGGTAACAGCTGGAGGCAGATTTTAGGTTAATTACTAATTATTAAAACTATTATTAAAACCGATAATTAGAGTATGCGTTGTAAATATTAAGCGTTGTGGTAAAGGTGAGCATAAATTCGTATAAATCCTGACTAGAAATGCGAGCCGTTATTCCCGAATCCGTCACGAATTTCTCTCCCCCGCACGCTTTGAATCGTAAACATCTGAACGTGCTTTCTCCCTCGGTCGCACAGGATTCGAGCGATGACTACGACGACGATGACGATGATGACGACGACGACGATGACAACGTCGGCGCTAGCGGCGGTGGCGGCGGCATGGGGAGCCGCACACGCTTCCTTGGCGAGCACACGTACAGCCAGCGCAACCCGATCAACCGCCGCCCGATCTACATGCAGCAGAGCGAGACCGCCGCCGCCGCCGCCGCGACCGCGATGCCCTACCGCAGTAAGATCCTGCTCGTCGACGAACGCGGAAACCCCGTCGGCTCTCGCGCCGTCGAGACGGATGAGGACGCGGCGCCGGCGAAACTTGCGAAGAAGCCGGCGCCATCTAGCATGCAGCAGCAGGTGGCGTCGCTGCTCGGCGGGAAGCTGGCGATCCCGCGCGGCGGTCAGGTGATGGTGCTGCCGACGGCCGAGCTGCAGGCGATGCTCGCGTCCGGAGCCGTCGCCACGACGACGGCCACGGGAGAGAAGGCATCGCCGGCGACGGCGCGGGTGCTGCTGGAGGCGATCCGCACGGAGCGTGGCGCGCCCGGCAGCGTGGCGGCGCGGCCCATGACGCTGTCGTCGTCGCCGCTGCGGCAGCGTTTCCCGCCGTACGCAGCCGCGCGGCAGACCCCCCCGCGCCGCCGCGGCCGCTCGTCCAGGTCGTCGTGCGGCCGCCCGCCACCCCGCCAACCATCGTCCAGTCACCGGGCGGCGTCCGCACGCTGCTGGCAACGATGGGGAGCGCGGCGACGTCGTCGCCAGGGGGCGCCAGCGTGCCACAGCAGCCGGTGTTCGTCATCAAGTCTCCGTCGGGTAAGATCGACGCGTCGAGTCTGCACGGGCTTAACCTGAAGGCGTTCCCGCAGGGAGCAAAGCTGGAGATCAACGGGCAGCACTATGTCATCCGCAGCCACCACCAGCAGGGGGCGCCGGCAGTGGCGGCGGCACGCGACGGCCAGCAGGGGGCGGCGACGGGAGCGCGCGCCGTCCCGATCGTGTACAACGCGAACCCGTGGAAGATGTCTCATCAGACCCGCCACCAGATTGCGACGCGGAAGCCGCAGGACGCCGGCGCCCCCCCTCCCGCTGTCGCCAAGTCGGAGCAGTCTGCCGGTGCAGCCCAGCAGGTGGCAGCAGCATCGCCGGCGAGCAACGCACCATCCGGGGAACAGGAGCGACTCAGCCTGCAGTACGTCATGTCGGCCGTACTGGACAACCACTCGGGGGCGCTGCAGGCTGCCAAGTCGACGAGCGAGGCGAGCGGCGTAGTGGCGCCCCCTAGTGCACCGCCGCTGCAGGCGGCGAGCCAGACAGTGATTACCTCGATACAGAACGTGCCGTCTGCGTACTCCGTCGCCACGCACACGATGCCCGCCGCAACAGTGCTGACCCCTGGTGTCCAGAAGCTGGTTCGTGTCGTGTCGGCCGCCGGCGTTTCGCCGCAGACGCAGTTCGTCCAGGCGGTGGCGCCCCCTGGCGGGTGCATCCAGCAGCTGCTGACAGTCGGCGGCACGCAGTACTTGATTAACGCAAACATTCCAGACGGTGGTCAAGCGGCGAGCGCGCCCGTCATCTCGACAGGTGGCAGCACGGTGGTGGTGTACACGCAGGCAGGTGGCGTTGCAGCGTTGCCGCAGACGCTTGTGCTGCAGGGACAGGCGACGGGGATGGCACTGAACACCCCGCCCAACGTCGTCTACGCCCAGCCCACCATCGTTCACTCGCAACCCACCATCGTTCACTCGCAACCCACCATCGTTCACTCGCAACCCAGCATGATCCATGGTCAACCTACGGTCGTTCACTCACAACCCACAGTTGTTCATGCACAACCCAGCATCATTCATGGTCAACCTACGGTCGTTCATGCACAACCCAGCATCATTCATGGTCAACCTACGGTCGTTCACTCACAACCCACAGTTGTTCATGCACAACCCAGCATCATTCATGGTCAACCTACGGTCGTTCACTCACAACCCACAGTTGTTCACGCGCAACCCAGCATCATTCATGGTCAACCTACGGTCGTTCACGCACAACCCACAGTTATTCATGCGCAGCCGGCCATCGTTCACGCACGGCCGAGCATTGTTCATGCGCAGCCGGCCATCGTTCACGCACGGCCGAGCATTGTTCATGCGCAGCCGAGCGTTGTTCATGCACAACCCACCATTGTTCAGCCATCGACGGCGATTCTGAACGCACAGTCTATGATCGTCAATGCTCATCCTCTGCAGCCGTCTGCTCAGCGCAATCTCTGGGAAGCCATCGGCGTGATGAAGCCCGCACCGCAGAAGACGCCCGTCGCCATGGCAACGAGCGAGGACGAGCAGACGTGGAAGGAGAGCAATGGCCACGTCGACGATACAGGCGACGACGACGCGGCGCCGCAGCCAGGGGGCGCCGCAGGCGTGATCAGCAACGGCGACGCGAATCTCTTGATGGTTACTCGCGAACAGAACTGCCAGTAGGGGGCGCTTGCGAAGAGGCATTCCGGAGATGCGATTCAGCGATCAACAGTGGCGATTTGTTATTCGCGGCCGGAGATTGACGAAGGAGTGAGAGCTTTGTGAATCGGAGCTAGCACCTCATGCGATCTGTGCACACCCTGGCGCTTGTACGTTGCGTTATTTTTATGTATATAATATTGTCTCCAGTACACACTCAGAGGAAGGACGCCATTAGAGCGCGTATTCGGTTAGATCCTGTATTTTGTATATGTTATTTACCTGCGTCATCCTGTGCATGATAGAGCCCTGTATGCATCGGAGACGTTGAAGATGGAATAATAGTGGTGGACAGACACGATGTGAGAGAACGTGCCGTTATGTGTTTGTGTTATGTGTTTACTTGCGCCTTGCCGTTCCTCAGAGCTGACATATGAAGTGAATCCAAACATCCAATATCCTTGCGCTGGGACCCCCCTGCTCATTGAACCTAGCGGTTATCGAATACTGTATAAACTGTATATTTTGCGGTTGTTTAATTTTCGCGAATTTCGCGAACGCGTCCCCGGCCGCGAAAATAACAACACGTGGATAATGCATACCGAATAATACCGAATAATTCATAATTCACCGACCGCGAAATTAACCATTTGCGAAA